GAAACATTAGCGTGCATTCATTATGTTCTGATAGGTACCAAATCGAAACCCTCATACTTGGTTACGCCGAACCCGTGTACCCGCTCGGAGATGAAAAAGATTGGATTTTACTGGATGACTACGTGCCAAAGATGATTAAGCCACCAAAATTTGTTCCTCGTGTTGGACGTCGCCAAACTACTAGAATACCATCGGCCGGGGAAGTCCGACAGGTACACAAATGCGGGCGATGTGGAAACGTTGGACACAACCGCAAGACGTGTAGGCAACCGCTCCGAACAGAATGATATGGTTGTTATTATAGTCGGAACTATGTGTGCTATGTAAATACTACTACATTATGGTTTTGCCGGCGTAAAATGATGTATTTTGTAGGTTCAGAAGTAGACTAAGTCAAGAATAATTCTTTTCAGCTTCTTTCATGTTCTGTCAAAATTCTCGGTGCTTTCTCGGACGAGGTGAAGCCCTAGGTAAGCTCATTGGCAGGTTCTGTCAAAATTCCCGGTCATTTCTCAGGCTAGGTGACACCCGGGGTTGGAATATTTTTAAGGTTCTGTCAAATTTCTCGAGCGCGATCTCGGTTGAGGTCGAACCCGAGGTTGGCACATTTTTGTTGATTCCATAATTCCTGGCCGAGTTATACTGGACCCCGACCCTAAAATTCAATGAGCTATGAAAGTAGATATTAAAATGAATAATATATTGAAAAATAGTTCGTATACTTCGTCACCAAATAGAGATAATAGATACTACGTTGCAAAAGATTTTGTACAAATTATCACCAAATTGCCTTATTAGACCATAGCTAGAAGGCAAATTGCCTCCTAAAGTATGGCATATTGTTTTGCCTCAATGTTTCTAAAGAAGTCCCTGTTACATCATATTCAAAATACTTAACACAAAAAATGCCGCAGTCTCCACTACCAAACTGTTGCGGTGCTGAGTAACCCTACGAATTCGCCACGGTGTCATTGGTAGGTTTGGACGTACCGCGATGACCTGAGATTTATGCAATAACGATGGGATGACTGTGCGCATGACTTCCAGTTGCTCCTCCAATGATGCATCTGAGGTAATTGCTCTCACAGAGTCCCAGACAACGATCTCACCTTCAACGAAGTCTATGCATATCATAACCCAATGGTTGTCGTTGACATTGAAGGGTAAATAGACAGCCTCCACCTCACGCCACTTGAGCGGGTAGTCCGAATGACTTCCGTCAATGTATGCCATGACGGTACTCTCCCGCGCATCCCAGTCATACTCCTTCGCCACCTGTGCTGGAGTGGCATTCTTTGATTTCACCAACTCATATAGACCATGTTCGACGGAAAAAGTTATGTACATTTAATATGGATGTTGTTAGGCATGAATAAGAAATAGAGAACAAAAAATGGAGTAACAGAAAATTACGTGGGACGTACCGACAACACAGTGTCTCCAGTGGTGAATTGGCGAGAACATAAGTCAGGAC